TGGGATCTTCACTCACTACAGAATCGTTTGGTTTCTCTGATTGGCAATCTTTAGCGTCACGGAACATGCCGAAACAGCCAGTGAAAGGGGCCCCGTAGTCCACCAATACATCAGGTTCATCCCCGACGTTATATTTATTGTAGTTAACATCTAGCACTAACGGGGATGAGGTAGTATCAGTCCTGCTGGTGGGGTTCTCTTTGAAGAACAAGTTGTGCACAGCCATCTGTAAATCTTGAATCATGAGGTCGAACCGATTGTAAGAAATAACTTCGCTGTTGGGACTTGTTTGAGTGGTGATAGGACTGCACATACCCCCGTTAATGGCAAGAGTCAGTGCAGCCACTAGTATGGAAAAGTGATTGACTTTCATTTCTCTCAGGTATTCTCTGGTAGCTATGGGATTGTTACAATGCAAAGAGGCTTAAAAAGTTGTGTTATGAAGATTTGAGATCAAGTTTTATGCACATGATGCCAGTAGACAAATCTCTCTCAGTAATTAGTAGGCTACTTGCTTATAGCAAACAGAGAGCAATTGCCATAAGTTTAAAAAAAAACCCCCAAACATGAGCCGAGTGAGTCAGTGAGTCGGAGTCTATCTAAATACGACACTTGCATAGCCCTCTAGAATATTCACGAAGAAGGCTATTCATACACAGGAAACATGTGCCCTAAAAATGTGACTACATTTTGTATATATTTATTTTAAATTTATTAGACACATTTTGAAGTTGAAGGGGAAAAAAGTGTTGTAAATATTCAAGCACAAGTCAGAGAGTAGAGAGCCTAGCCGATCCATTTCGTATATTATTTACCGGCCCTGCCGGTCCGGCTGCCGCCCTCTCGCCCAGGCCTCAGGCCCGGGGCCCTGGGGCCTGGGCCCTACCGCCCTACTCTACTAGAGTAGCCCAGGCCCTGTCCCTGAGAGGGCCCAGTGAGTTATCCCAAATTCCCCATGTTTCAATTTAGAAGTGTTTAATTTTTAGAAGGCTATGTTTTTTAATGTTTTTTAAGAAGGCAATTTTTTTTTAACAAATAGTCCCCACTCGGACGCATTTTATATACACACATGGCCGTATTTTAAAAATTATATGTATTTATGATACTTTACTATTGTTTGTTTTTCTGATCGGAGTCTGGAGAGCGTCGACAACTCGATTCTCTCGCGGGGCTGTATGGACTTCTGTAGAATCGTAGATCCATAAAGCGGTATTTTATCACATACTCCTCAGTCCTCGACTCCTCATTCCTGAATCCTGAGTCCTGAGAGTCCTGACTCAGGTCCTGAGAGTCCTGACTTCTGACTTCTGAGTTCAGAGTCCTCAGTCCTCAGTCCTCAGAGGGCTCAGACCTCAGGGCTCAGACCTCAGGGCTCAGACCTCAGGGCTCAGACCTCAGGGCTCAGACCTCAGGGCTCAGAAACCCAGTGACTCAGTCCTCAGTGAAAGTCTGAAAGTCTTTTGCAATTTGCAGGCTGAGGGCCTGAGGCAGGAGTTGGATTCCGATGGCATTCGTCAATTCGAATTACCAAATATGGTCTATCTAAAATTCTAAATATATATTCTATAAGAGTTTTGCTGAAGAGAAAATTACCAGGAGCAAAACAAAAGGGCAAAGTCTGAACTTCTGAAGTCTGAGCGAATGAGTGACTGAGAGTGAGGAACTGAGGATCCCCTAAATTTGAGGTTTGCGGCCCTGAGCCCTGAGCCCTGAGCCCTGAGCACTGAGCCCTGAGCCCTGAGCCCTGAGCCCTGAGCCCTGAGCCCTGAGCCCTGAGTCCTGAGCCCTGAGCCCTGAGCCCTGAGTCCTGAGCCCTGAGCCCTGAACCCCAACCCCTATCCCCTATCCCCTAACCGCCCCCGATCCCGACCCCTATGTTGAGTTAAATGTCGTTATCTCACTATGAGTATGTAGTGTACCAGAACCAGAGACTTCAACCCTAAATAACTCCTCACTCTCAGTCTCTCAGGACACGGAGAGTCGGGGCCTGGGGTCGGCACTCGGCACTCGGCAGAGTGCTTAGTGTCGCCATATTTATATATATAATAACAATAAGATTTATTTGAATTTACAGCAGTATTTTATTCATAGCCCTCTAATAAAAATTAAAAATAACAATAAAATTGGTTTATTTGTTTGTACATACAGGATAATTTTTGTTTTTGTTTTTTAAAAAATTAAAAAATACATAGTGGTATATGTTTTAAAAATATGTATGTATTTATTTACCTATATATTTTGGTTCTTTTTTTTAAATTTGTTTTAAAACAACACTTGCTTCTTGTCACATGAAGGCATGAACTCACGATGTGGCCCAACCACCCAATGTGGGCCTTTGCATTCGGCCCTCCGGAAGTTCGGGCTTCGCAGCTTCACACAAATTCATCAAATTCACCCCTTGGCCGCTGCCGGCTTGTTGGCCGCTAAATAAATACACTTGCTATTTATTTATGTACAGCATTCTTCGCCAGTCGCGATGCGCGAGTAATTTAGTTATTTTTTATTTACTCCCTTCTTGTACTTTGTTTTCGCTTTTTTCATAGTAGGAAACACTTTTTGTGTAATTTTCAAAAGAGGCTATTTACATATGCCTGTTTTTTTGTTTTTTTTTACAAATTTTACTATTAATAAAAACATCAAGATCCCTCGAAATTCTCAAAGTTCGGTCCCTAATTCTTTATGTCAAAATTAAAAAATCTGCCTAAATAAATGATTTTTCCCCGCAGGAGGGGTATAACTTTGTAAGTGCCGTGGTGGGCGTAAAATGTGACGAAAAAAATGTCGTCAATTCCGTACACCACATACAGAAGGACTCTGAAGATCCCCGCTATGAGTTCACTTCGGTGGTGTCTCATGTTAAACTAAAATGGAAAATACACAGAAGATTAGCATGGCTCCTGCACAAGGATGACACGCAAAGATGCGAAGCGACACAATTTTTCCTACGTATGATCGCCCAAAGCAATACTGAAATGCTTAAACATATTGTGTACCAACGACGATCTCCACGCCAACCCTGCATACCGGGTGCCGATGACACAGGCGCCACGCTCACTGGCTACTTTGAGGACCTATGCAACTCCATAAACCCGAACGTGGTTTTACCGGATACCGAACCCTCGCCAGATGTAACTCCCGCCATACGCCCCGATGATGTAATGAAGGCTATACTACGCTATCCCAATAAGGGGTCTGGCCTTGACAGTGTCTACACCCTCCTCCTGAAGGCCGCAGTGAAGCGCTCCACCGAACGCAGAACAATATCAGGATGCTCTTGTGATATCAATAGTCTATAACTGATTAAACTCTTTGCCGAAGTATTCACTGAGCTACTGAAGGCGGGTATCTTATCTGTAGCCCTGAGCTGCACTCTCCTGAATGAGTACCCGAAAACATCCCGATGTAGATATCACCTCCCCCGTCGACTTTCGCCCTATGGCGCTAACGCAAATGGTCAGACGCGCTTTTGAGAAGTACAGCTTCTTCAAGTTGATTACGTGCCAACCTGGCTCTGCTATCCATGCTACCCAAGCTGGCTTTAAATCACGATACTCCTGTCATGCCCAAGCACTCGACGCCATGAAATCTGAGACACAGTAGGAAGATGAGTAGAACGAGGTTTGTCTGAACATTATAAAGGCATATGAGAAGGTTGCTCTCCTGCTCCTGTGGGCACTCCCCCACCTTGGATTGCCCAAAAATTGGATCAACTGCCTCTGTGCGCTATTTGAGAGGGTATCTACCCGAGTCTGAGACATTGCCTATATATAATCCTCTCAGTACTGTTTTCGCCGAAGGGATTTTATTTAGTTTCGTTGTCGCTCTATTAGAAACTATGGAATGTTTCGTTGGAGCGAATCCGAGAGACTCATAAAATCCTATCTTTAGAAAAAAAGAATAGAAGAAGAAAAAAGAAAAGTACTCTTGATGTCCATAGTTATTGCATTAATCAATAACTTGCCACTTATTAAGAATTACCGGCTTAGCCTACATCAGACTGGCACATCTGGTTGGCTGAACGGAGGATAAGCTAGGTAACGTTAATAGTCCCTAGAAACCTATATTCGGTTGAGCCATCTCGCTACCGAAGTATTCAGATATAAATAGATTTGGAAAGTAAATATAATTAATAGAACTAGACCAAATCTTATGTTTGATATTTTACCGGGGCCTTATAACGGCCTTGTCCAAATATCTGATATGTAAAATGGAAAAGGTATTAATTACTAAAACCGTTAAAACCATTTAGGAAACTTAAGTTCCTTGTTCTATTAAGAGTACGTTTATAGTTTACGTACTTCTTAAGAGTCCGTTTATAACATAGAGTCTAATGTGGAGGCCCGGCTATTACACAATCGTTGGCCTCCATATTTTTATTATCTACATAGAATCCTTGGCTGTCATACAATACAATACTAGCTTAACAATGTTGGCCCAAGCTTCTCCGCTCTTATTTATTTGTCGACGACACACCGATTCAAGCTTCACAACCGGTTTTGCTCCAGCCCTTCTTAGACGACATTGATGCTTGAGGACGTAAATCTGGCCTCGAACAGGGTGTCATTGTCAAACCTCGAGTACGATCTACCAACTTGCGACACGCGACGTCAACATTCCATATAAATGATGAGCTTGTTACGCCGACGTTTGCAGATGCCCCTTGGAATACACAGTATCTTCCCTGAAGATGGCACCCACACATAACAAGCCTAAACTCTCTAAATACATGAGTTTCCCACTCTCCCTCCTGTTTTAGCGCTATAACTCAGTACTCATCCAAGCAGCAGCCATCATCACGGGCATTAAATAGTTTAGGTTTCCCAAACAAAACCCGTATCCACACCTGTCTCTAACACATCAACAGATGTTCCCCATATACCCCAGCCAATCACGCTATTAAAGTACTACTGCTATTTAATTTCGGTCCAAGCCAAGTTATCTGTTGACCGTCCCGCCTGCGATACTTTTAATCCAGGTCAACCAGCACATACCGGGTAAATCCATCGTCCGAACTATGACGAATATTCTGGTTCTATTCGATATTTCGTACTCTGTGCTAATCCATTCCACGGCACTACACGGTGAAGACCCGATTCGACCCACAGAGATAGATACGCTACTTAGTATGCCAGAAAGCAAATATATGGCAGGAGGGCGCACTCGATGGTGTCAGTTTCTTGTCAGCACCGGCCTGAATTGCAGACCCAGCACATAATCTCTATCGTCGACTCACTTGGCCCAAACTTCAAACAGTTACGGACCAATTCTTCCCAACTATCTTCCCCGAGCCACTACAACGGCTATGAGAGCCATTCTTTCTGGGGCCGCCCAATGAAACGCAAATATGAGTACGATCATACACCTGAGAATATTCTAACAGGATGTGTCTAGAAGGAAGAACTTCATCCAGATAGAACATTTTCAAGCTATGCTCAGGCAAAGTTGTTTTGCAATTCTCTTGCTGCCAAGATGGGAGTGGTGCTATGTAGCGGCGCAGACTTGAAGCGAGGAAACAAGGTACTGAGTTGCGATAGAAGCAGTACAAACGCAAAATTAGCGAGGCGCCAAGAGGTGAGGAGAAGGTTAGTAGAGCAGGAAACTAACCGAGCTCCAGTTCACCGCACTAGGCTGTATGTATTCCATAAAATGTGGTTGCAAATTAAAAGTAGGTAAGCTAGTTGTGCCTAGCGTTATCGCGCACCGCTGTTATGCCGAGCATTTTCGCGCAAGCGAACACAACACAGACGTTGAGGGAAATAACAGTAGTGATGGCAGTGATGGCGGTGACAGTGATGAGGCTGGAGATAACATACCTGGAACGCGGTCTGCCAAAATTGGTACCCAATACGACATTCTGGGACCGCCCAATAAAACGCAAACGTGAGTACAATCATATACCTGAGAACATTCTACAAGGATGTATCTGGGAGGAAGTTGTTTTGCGATACTCTTGCTGCCAAAAATGGGAGTGGTGCTATGTAGCGGCGCAGACTTGAAGCGAGGGAAAAGTATATTGGGTTGCAATTGAAGCGCTACTACCGCAAAATTAGCGAGGCGCCAAGAAGTGAGGAGAAGAAAAGTATAGCCGGAAACTAACCGAGTTCATGTTCACCGCACTAGACATTCCATAAAATGTGGTTGCAAATTCAAGGTAAGTAAGCTAGTTATACCTAGCATTATCGCGCACCGCTGTTATGCCTAGCATTATTGTGCATCGCTGTTATACCTAGCATTATCGCGCACCGCTGTTATGTCTAGCATTTTTGCGCACCGCTGTTATGCCTAGTATTGTCGAGAACCGCTGCCATGACCAATTTAATATTGTTTTATTCATTCAGCTTAACTTTGTGCATACGGACGCAACGCCAGGTTTTGAGAAAACTTCATTTAGGGTTGGTTATAAATATGACAGTTGGGTCGCTCCAAGCGCCCATCGTTTAATACTGTCAGGACCAAACAAACAATCCAGCAGTCAGCAAATTGATAACAAAATACAGTTCGGTACTAGAACTATCAGGTGTCAAAACATATATACGACACCTATGAAAGGAATTCAGAGACTCTCGCCCTAAGCGGTAGAGTTAAATAAGAACCCTCAGTGGAGGGGAAATAAAGCTCACTTCCTCCGTAACTCAATTGTCTAACAGGTCATGGGCCTCGATTAGACACGATAGTAAGTCAATACACATCCAACCACACCACGCTACACACTACGCCACACACACCCTAAACTCACAGCTACACATTACGCACACAATTTCTTATATCTGCAAATTCCCTTACATCCTAACAGTCGCCATCACAACTTACACGTAAGTACCACAAACTCACACGCAAGTGATTTCACCTATACGAATCACTATGGACAGCCCAAAAATGGTCAAATGGCCAACACGCTTTGATAATCTAGATGCCGCATTAGCATTCGCACGAGAATACTGGCCTCAATGCTCCGTATACAGCAATCTTGAATCTGCCAATACACACTTAATCGCCATTCGCAAACTCATCCAGGTACTTCCCATCAGCCGACAAGAAGTCTGCGCTTCCACAGCTACGGCACTAGCCCACCTGATATTTGCCAAGAGTGACCTATACCACGTAAGCAAACGCAATCAAGAACTACAAGCTGAGGTCGACCGTTTCAAACGGCATAATGTCGAACTTGGAGATGATCACAAACTACTCATCGCTAAATACGACACGCTCAAATCAGAACACCCATAAATCTCCGAGCGCCTCACGAAACCACAGTCCCGCTTATACGAGCAAACGGAACAGTCCACCGACAATCTCAGTGTTTTTCAAGCCGAGCTTGATTCCGTACGCATCGAGCTTCAAGAAAAACTTGTTGTCATCGACTAATTCGAACACGCAACAAAGCCAAAACCAGCCTCTTATGCAGACAAATATGGCATCACTGCCGACGATCCCGGTATCCCACTTTCTGAGTGCCCCAAGTACAAGGACGTGTACAAGCAAACAAAACTAGAGAACTGGGAAAACTTCGGATCTTGGATTATGGGCATCAAAGTGGAACTTGCACATTATTGTGTTTTGCATCGCCTACATCCCGATTGTGACGAACTCTGCGGTACAGACACGCTCGCTGATGCAAGATGTCGCCGTAGTATGATTGTTTCTATCCAGGAAGAGCTGATCAATACAGTATACAAAACCACTACTCGAAATCACCCTCTGACTTCTTCAACTACATCTGTATTACAAGCAACACTGGTACCCATGGGCGCTTCTGGGACGGTATGAAGCGTCTCGTCAACTTCAAGGCATCGGGTACTACAGAGAAGACAATGCAGACCTTGAAGGAAATTCGTCAGGGACTTCTCGATGTCGGTGAGGTAATTCCAGATAAACACATCATCTGCGCATTACTCTATAGTCTAGGCAACGACTATCAACTACTCCGATCCAACATCTTCGATCTAGACACTGACAAATTAGACATCAATGAGGTATATCGCATGACTCTCAAGTTCGAAGGCGATCATCAGATCCCGGCACGCAATACAACAATAGAAATCAACGCTATCACCACACAGCCGGACACGAAAGACGTGAAAGATAAGCGCCAACCTCGCGAGATCACATGTTCCTTGTGCAAAGAAGCAGGTCGTAGTTTTTACGGTTGACGAAAATCTATCTGTCGACGATGCGGATCGAAGGATCGCATCGGGAAAAAATGTCCCGTCGACCGTTCGACTCTCACATGTAGCAAGTGCGACAACAAACCTGGCCATAACGACGAGGCATGCATCAAGAACAACTAAAGGGGCGGGGCACTGTCCACAAATACTCAAACTGTACATAGTTCGAAAGTTCTACACCCTACTCCCCCACACACCTGAGTGCCACTATAAACTAAATATACTCAATGCTACTTTGCTAGGGCTGTGCCCGCATAAACGTTACCTCTTACTGCCTCACTTATCGACTCTGGAGCAATGGTTCATATACGCTCTAATACAGATGGTGTCAAAGGTTTACACACTGGTCACTTTATTGTGGAGTTTCGTAATAAGAGTCAACTTATACTTATTCAACGTGGTGTACTCCCTGGCCTAGGAACAGTACATATTATGCCAACCGCAACACAGAATATATTATCCGTACAATTACTACAACGGCATAACTATGGGATATATCTCCCACCGGAACCCAATCAATCCGTTCCAACGGAGTGTCACCTACTCCAGAACGATGAACTATTACATCGCATTCCAAATCACAATGGACAATATACAGTGGCTAACTTCACAGCCAAATCCTTCGAGAATTGGCATGATAGACTAGGACATCGCTGCGACCCACGTAACACTCTAACGACGAGCAATATTACACCTACCACACCAGCCAAGCCTTCACACGATGACTGGAAGTTAAACCCAACTCTAGTCAAGACGCACGTCACTGATGTCTTCGACGAAATAGGCATCGACCTCTTTGCTTAGAAACATAAGGCACAAGTTCCTGTCTACCGCAGTTTAGAGCCAGATGCACCACTGCACGACGCATTCAAACAGTCATGGCGACAGCCAAACACACGTCTCTTCGGCAATATACCTTTTCGTATCCAAACATGGAGAGAAGCACTTCTCAAGCTTGAGAGGGAGGATGGGCTTATCACTATGGTTTTTCCGCTTCAACCCAACACGCGCAACTACAACCAACCGAAACTCCAGTTACACTCCCATGTGGAACTCATCGAAACCACAGCCAACACGTTCTTACAGAATGGTACTGAGATTACCGGACCACCTAAGTGGCGGTATGTCTGCGTTGCTCGCGCAGGTAGCACTAAGCACGTGGTTCCACCAATAACAGCACTATTAGACGCCGAAGCAAAATGCATACTTCGTCCACGCGCGCTTACATTCTGCAACCCTTGCTTCGTGGGGAAATGCGATGATGTCCAGTCTCACGCACAACCAAAGACGAGAGCACGCTACCACCCGTCGGTACAGTTTTCCACGTTGACCTCCACGCGGGTTTGCCAACGTCCCCAACAGGCTACACATGCAATATTAAATATGTCGATGCCAATAACGGACAACCTTTTGTATACCCACTCAGACATAAAGACGATGCCACTGCAACATTGGACGATGCGACGACGACCAGTCTCACGCACAACCAAAGACGAGAGCACGCTACCACCCGTCGGTACAGTTTTCCACGTTGACCTCCACGCGGGTTTGCCAACGTCCCACCCGTCGGTACAGTTTTCCACGTTGACCTCCACGCGGGTTTGCCAACGTCCCCAACAGGCTACACATGCAATATTAAATATGTCGATGCCAATAACGGACAACCATTTGTATACCCACTCAGACATAAAGACGATGCCACTGCAACATTGGACGTCTTCTACACAGACATAGGAAAAGACTACCTTGCGAACCTTAGGGAACTCAAATGTGATCGCGGTGGGGAGTTTGTCTCCAAAGAATTCAGGTCAACACATTACAGCATATCAAGGTGAAAAATATCCCTACTAATACACCTCAATTACATGGCCTAGTCGAGCGGACCAACGAGTCCATTCACGACCTTATGCTGTCAATAATGAAGCAGGTAGGTTTGCCGGATCGCATGTGGGTCGAGGCACTCCAGCATGCCACACTTGAATCATCAGTGCACCTGAATAAGCATAATAAGGACAATAAGTTCTCTTGGGAAGTGTTCTATGGCAGCAAACCGACCGAACGTATCAAACACATGCACGTTTTGGTTGCCAGGTGGCATTCATTAATCAGTCACGTGAGGACAAGATGGACGACAAAGCGAACATAGGTATATACTTCGGCCATGATCGGCAATCCAAGTACTACGATGAGTGCAAAATCTATAACGTGAAAACGGGTAAGATATGCCACTCCCACGATGTTAAATTTGATTATCGTGCGTTTCCTACGTGGACAATGATCGGTATGACGCCAGTCCTACACTTTGCAAAAGACAACAAGGACATTCCCACAATACGTGAACTTACATTCGCACTACACCTCGACGACGCACTGTCAGCTCCCGAGATGCCTACTACCGTGAATGCCAGTACCCAAACTGAAACCAACACAGCGAACACCTCGACTACAGCTACAGAATCATACCAAACCAATACCCATGATAGACCACCAACAAGTCCTATCACCAACGTACTCCTCTCTACTCCTGCATTACTTCCGACACCATCTTCTGGCAGCTCAGCTACCAACACGACGGCGGAGCCAAACTTAGAAACTACGATCAACGAATCACTCAGTACACATATCGACAAACACCCCACGTCTCGTACGCTACGGGGCTAGTTACTACCACCTCGCAAAAATTCGGGAACACTTACAGAACCCACATTGCCTAACAACATGCGAATGACGCGTCAACGCGCACGACAAATGACAGATTACAACAACACTGCCAATACTAGTATTCCAGGGGAGTCACCTACAACTAGCATACTTGCCGGTAGTCGCACTGATAGACTTCCAGGGGAGCTAACAACAGCTCAGCGCAACACCACAGCCTCTACGACCGATACAGGAATTCCGGGGGAAATTGACATACATCATGATATCAACACTTCAAGTGCAGGACCACAGTCAGCGGCAGACGGCACTACGCAGAACACTGCAAGGGTGTGTCATGGGCATCAGACCTCGAAAACACAGGGATTCTCTCGGTGAATGCGACAAAATATAATGCATCCCACCATTCATACGAATCTGGCAAAGAACTCAGCCCTAAACAGAAGTATCAACGAGCTCTAGAAAACAAGAAACGCGCTTAAAAACAAAACCATGCTGACAAACAATATAGGCGATAGGCACTGCAGCATGCACGCAAAACAACCAACAGGGCACTATCTAGTATCTCTGCACGACCCGGGCTTATCGGATCGGACGATGAAGACGACGACAACGACCTCCCCATACACATCAACACAGATACACACGCCCGCACGCAACCATTACCAGAGAACGAACTGACAAAATAGCAGGTCATCTATAATGATACGGTACACCAGGTCTACAATGCCTGCCTCAAAATACAAGAGCACCCGCTTACACCTCACACCATTCGCGAGGCACTGAAAGGCGACGATGCCGACCTTTGGCGAGCTTCACTGCAACGCGAGCTGGATAGTCTTAAAAAGGCAGGCACATATAATCTACTTCGGCCAGATGATGTCCCCGATGACGCCCTCATCGTCTCTAGTAAATGGGTGTTTAAAGTGAAGATGATTGACGGCATGGTCGACAAGTACAAATCACGATTGTGCGCTAGAGGTTTCGCCCAGACAAAAGGTATCAATTTCAGCGAGACGTACGCACCTACATGCAGCCACGACACACTTCGTCCACTATTAGCCGTCGCCGCATCGCAAGGTTGGCACGTGGCACAGATGGACGTCGACACAGCGTATCTCAATGCCGACCTAGATGAACCGATATATATGAGACCACCTCGGGGCTCAGACGCTATTAGCCTACCGTCCGATAGTATTCTCAAGCTCAACAAGGTCTCAAACAATCGGGAAGACTCTGGCGCGCACTACTTAAGTCAAAACTTTTGATTATGGGCTTCAAACAGGCTGCTTGCGACGAGTGTATATTTATTGCTGATATGGAAGTGTGTAGGTCTAATCTATGTCGACGACATCACTATTGTTGGACAGCAAGCATCTGACGTGGACCGCTTCAAAACGCTTCTTCAAGAGGAATTCAGCTGTGAATATTTGGGTGACCCCAAATGGCTTCTAGGCGTCCGAGTCCTTACGACACCTGACTTAATCAGCCTTGTTCAGGACAGTTATATCCGGGAGGTCATCGAACACTTTGAATTCACAGAGAGCCACCCCGCGCCTACTCCAGCAACCACAGACATTGTGTCCAAGAACATCGGCCCTTGTCACCCGTGTGCATATCGTGAGTTTGATTAGTACACTCCAATATCTCTCAGTGTTAACACGCATTGACATCGTTAAACGCATTAGCACGCTATATGGATTATCCATCGGCTACACACTGGCACGCCGCACAACGCATACTTCGCTATATAAAGGGTACACCACACATGGGATTAACTTATACATACCAAAAAGGCACCCCAATCGCTGATGCAGTTTCCGACGCTGACTATGCTTCATGTCCGGATAGACGTCGATCTACTACCGGCTACATTTTGAGAATCAACAAAATCCCGGTTGCCTGGAAGTCTCACCGTCAAAAAACACTGTTTACTAGTTCAGCTGAATCTGAATACTTCGCCGCTTCCGAGGCAGCCAAACATATATAGTGGCTTCGCATTATGCTCGAGGAAATAGGCTTCCCTCAGACGACACCTATAGTGCTACAATGTGACAATAAGTCCGCAATCCACGCTATCACATCCAAAGGTCCTACTAAGAACCTCAAACACGTTGATGTTCGTGTCCAGCACATCAAACAGCTGCAAGAGAACGGCATTATCAACGTTGAATGCGTCACATCCCAGGCGAATCAATCTGATATACTCACAAAGAATACTGCTCGTCCTACACACTCTAAACATACCAACGATCTGTTGACATATATACCACCAGCACAAGACAGTCCAAGCGAAACACAATCAGGGGAGAAACACAATCAGGGGAGAATGGGGCAGCACAAGATTGTATTTTCTCACTTTACCGACTACTGTCTTCAGGGGAGTGTCAGGACCAAACAAACAACCCAGCAGTCAGCAAATTGATAACAAAAATACAGTTCGGTACTAGAACTATCAGGTGTCAAAACAAATATATGACACCTATGAAAGAAATTCAGAGACTCCCACCCTAAGCAGTAGAGTCAAATAGGAATCCTCAGTAGAGGGAAAATAAAGCTCACTTCTTCCGAAACTCAATTAACAAATACACACTGATGGATACAACCCCAGTGATGAGCAAGCAACTGTATCATTTGTAGCCAGTGGGAAACTGTTCGAATGGGACAATCTGGGAAGCGAGGTTAGTAACTGAGTTGTTCAGAAAAGGTATATTCTAGAAGTGGACTATAAAGGTGTTCAACAGAGGTGAGCGAGAGAGGCGGACGAGAGAGGCGGACGAGAGAGGTGGGCGAGAGAGGTTTGCAAAAGAGGTGAACTCTAATACAATTCATTAGCAAATTATATATTTGCTTACGAAGAGCGTCCTAGTTACCATGACCTTGGGGAAATGTCCGACGAATGAGTTCCGAAAATACTGTCGCTGTATCCAACGGAAGGAACCGATACAGCCCAGACTATACATAACAACAGTCATATGTTCCCCCAAGAGTTTTTGATCTTATTGATTTGTTTTTAAACACACCATACTTGGTTTAGATCACCTGTCACGCGCTAAATATGAAATTATTTACTTCCATGTATATTCAGAACGAAGTCAAACACGCAATAACATTTAAGATGAGCCAGCAACTCTTTGACGACGCTACGACCTTGCCATCATATATAAAGAGATCCAGCACTTTTCCACCTGGTGAGGATATATCGGACGAGTGCATCGAGGAGTTTATGAAGATGACGGGATGTGACGAAGCTATGAATACGCAAATATTTTATAGCTAAAACCAATAAAGGATACTAAAATATCACTTCTAATATATAGTAACCACTCTAATGCTCCCCTCCAATGCTCATCTTTATTGCCCACCTCTAATGCTCCCCTCTATTGCTTCCCTCTAATGCCCACCTCTGATACTCCCATCTGATTTTCATCTCTGACCCTCACCTCTAATCCTTACCTCTAATCCTTACCTCTAATCCTCGCCTCAGGAGCGACTTACTCAACTTCTTCAAGTTGGCGCAATCCATGGACCCTAATCTGTATGTATCTGCGCGACAAAGCGACCAACGGTTTGAAATGTGTTCTTTAAATGACGAATATTATGGAGAAAAAATAACGTAACTTTGGTCGTATGCCCGCCATAAGGGGAACAACGAGTGGGGGGGGTGGCAGATATCTATATTGGTAGGGCCGGGCAACGACGGTAAAATCAAGTACTTCGGTGCTATGCTGTTATATATGGAGACGAAGGAAATATATAGGTTTGCATTATATTCTTTTCAGAAATCAATGGGCGAGGGGGCGCCGTTGAAAACTGAGTCAGTTTTCGCCGACGGCTTTTAGAGCCAGTCCGACGTTAAGGAAAGCCAGTTTTATTTCGCTGATAGGTACCATACATGGCAGACTATCAGTAAGAATCTTGGTAGGTACCACAGTGGGAGGGTGAAAGAGACGTTGGACAAAGCTATGCACGCAACAACACAACACATATGTAACCATTACCTTGATATTGCCATTTGTATACTGCCAGGAAAGAGTGCTGCCACACGGATGAGATTCTTGAAATAAGATGAAGTAATATGGACAACATATGTGTGACTGGGGTCTGGCTGACAAGTTTACAATGGGATGACTTTTCATCTTACATACTCAATTTGTAATCTCGTCCGCACTGGCCC